ATGAACTAAATATACGTATGTCTATTGTCGTTCTGTACCTGAACATGTAATTAAGATGAACAAGTATTATTTCGCCCCCTTTTTTATGTTGCAGAAAAGGCTTCTGAAATGTGCAGTTCATAATGTGTGACTTTTTGAAGAAATAAAGATCTAGGGTTACTCATTTTTTAATTGCAACTCTCTCATTTTAAGACACATAATCGAAAAATACTGGGTTAATATCATTGTCCTGACAAAATTACCCTCATTGCACACTGCATTAGCTGATAAGTGCAGAAAAGTGTTGAAATAATCTAGGTGTTATGTCTGCCGGGGACGGAATTCGAAGAAGGATTTTTACCATGATATATAATTTTCCTCACTCATGGCCATTATTTCAGGTCTAATAACCTAGGCTGGTAATTCGTCATTTGATCTGTCCACACTTGGGACAACTAATTATGATATTGTACAGTGGATAAGAATTAAATGGGGCTCCGATTTCTAAAATCATAAAACATAAATATATAACAAAAATATTCTGTTCAGTCGGATTGAACAAAGTCATAGACTGGTAACCTTTTTTCTTAAAATTCAGAATTCTTTAAATACCCACTTAGTTTCCGATTATTCAGCGTTAATCTGAATTCAACAATGAGATTAATTGAGACTTTAGGTAATGTAATTATAGTGAGTGAGAGACTTATTATATTAAATAGAAAGTTTCTCAGTTTAATATTAATGAGCTATTTCTATATAATGATGATATAGGAGGGTAGAGGGTCGATATGATTTATATCTTTAGGATCAAGCTCTTCCACTCGTAGTGATTTATCTTCGGATATTATCTTGTTATTATGGTTTAATTCAAGTAATGTCTTCTACCAACTCAATGTTTCAGATCAAACACGGGACTTGTAATCTAATTATTATGATAAGTGTGAATAACCAATATACATTATTCGCTCATCAATCTCTCTATACTGACAATGATAATACTGGATTTTAATTCTTAAAGGGTGATGGTCTCAGTGACTCAACTATATGATTCGGGGACCAGTGGATTTAAGTGGGTTCCTCGGGAATTGTATTTTTTTAAACATAACTGCTCACCTGTTTTTTGAGACCCCTCTATAAGTCAAATTATTGCCCTTGGTTGACCCCAGTATGTGAATCATTCTGTATAAGCTTTTAGCTACTGACTTTCGTACATTTTGTTTCAATTTTGTATGTTTTTTTTCTGTGGGACCCTTAAGGGTCGAAGACTTGGTTCAACCAGCCCCCTCAAAGCACAAAAACAAGTCAAAGAGCTGACAAATGTAAGGACTGCAGTTTTGTCATATTATTTGGACATTTTGAAGCCTGCCTTTCTTTATGGGAATTCAGCATTAGTTAAGGGATTGTAAAGAGGTTTCCATTATGTGTATCGGAGACACTGATGGCACAGACGTCTGTGGTTCCGACAAGATGGTACCAATTGATGACATCAGTGGCCCCGATATGCATAACTTTTTTTTAGAAAATCTCTTTACAATCCCTTTAATGCTCTGAGAACTTAATTAGAACAGATGAAAAAATTTTTATGACCTAGTGAAATTTCTGGTATTATTTCTTTAAATTGGCAATGAAGCCAAAATGTCTGGGTGTTGTTACTAGTACTCTAAGTTTATTGGTAAATAAGGATGAATCAACTAACTTATCAGCATATTCTGCAATTGAAAATATCAGTTTTCAATAAAGAAATACAACCGTCATTTATGAATCAAAAAGATATCGCTTATCATTCTTGCTTTTACCAAGCAAAATTTTATATGGAGTAGTTTTTTTTCTTATGCATGTCGTGTCATATCGATAGGTAACTTAAGCCAAGTCTGCCAACGAGTTCAAATGACTGTATAACTATTTACATTTCGTTTTTCGTTTAAAGAAAAAGTTCTAGTCAATCTGCAAGCTAAAGCTGATTAAAATCGATAAATTATCTGACAGTGATTATAAGAAGTCATACAGAATAGTGTCTAACACAATGGCAATTATCTGTGATTATATTTGCCAGTATCCACTTGTTAAATCGAATCTCGCAATTCATTTCTTGAGAGTGGTTTCACCTTTGGCTTGAAATCAACTATATGCACTGGACAGAGGTGTCAAGGACGAAAACTTTCGAGTTATGAAATCAATGCATAAACATCAGTTATTATCACGCTTGTCTACGATGTTGATGGTAAACTTTATTGAACAATATCTTTTAAACTCGAGATGCAGAATTCTTCACAAAGCTGTTGATACAATAGAGATTGATGATCAATCAAACACTGGACTAAGACGTTGGATTTCGACACAATATTCTCATGCTCAACTTAATTTTTCTCGCATTCAAAATTCAAGATTAAGGTGATAATGCCAGTACCCTCAGTAATAGATTGATATATTTCTTTTCTTTGATACAATCAGTTATTCACTTGTAATAGCTGCTTCAATTTGAATAAAACCTTAGTTAAGTTTGGACAAAAGTTTGTGGCCTCGGAGTCCGAGCTTCACAGCAGTATCATTTCAATGCTCAATGTTGTAAAACTATTAAAGATCTCGGACATACTGTGTGCAATTTTCATCAAAAAGTATTTCAAGTCATTAGATTTATAGCGACGGATTAAGTAAGCTCAGGATATTGGCATGCACTTCTAAACAATATTTGGAACAGTCATTATTTCTTCAAGAGCTTTCTTGGTACTCTTACGCTTGATACTTTCAATTTGTTTTCTTCACTAAACCATCCAATTGATGTCATGGTTACATAGTTAATGGTGCTATTGTTCTTGGCTTTTGACAACATTCCAGACATATAATTTTTAGGGAATAAATATAAGGAAATTCACTAACCTTTTAAACGTGTAAAATATTTGGAGCGTTTTCAAGCTGACTAGACTTTATGATTTAATAAAGTTCATTATACCAGACACAACATTAATTCTTAAATCCAATATCTAGCCAGGAAAACTTATTAATTACGCATTGATTTGAGTAATGAAATCCACACTTGTTAACTTGCTTCTCTATATTGAAATTTACATAGCTCTTGGGATTACAACATAACCATTGAATAACTTGTTCAGTTTATCCTCAATTATGTTGAATCTTACAAGTTTACTGTGACCAGCAAACCATATCTGTCTTACAAACGGTGTCATAAAACAAGCACTCAGACAATTCAGCGGGATTTGTACATCTAAACATAATCAAGTCAAATTGAATCATACGCTGATAGTTTGTGTTATACAACCTCTACTGTTTAAAAGGGTCAGTATTTATTCCGGTCGGTCGATATTAAAATTATTTCTCTACTTGAGATCGTAATGGAAATTGATAAAAGCAGGTGATCTAAGTATAATGATTAGAAATTATTTTACAGTATATCTTCTCTACCGATTGTTCCAATGACTTAAATTAGCAGAAAAGTCTTCATGTAAATGGGCAATTGATTTATTGGAAACACTCGAGTCCGAAATTAGCCCAATTCTCTTTTAATGGCTTCCATTTCGGATAGACAAAGAGGAAGTGAAGAAAACACTTGGGTAATAACGATTTATTCCAGTATATCTTGGGAAAAATTCTACGAACCGTTTTCTTTGTGAAAGGAATAATCTGTGCCATAAAGTCAATTCTGCCTTATTGTAGTTATTTTCTTCATCCCTTGACTAAAATAGGTATAGCCATCTAATACTAGCTTTAACATCTGATACAAATTCATCTGAGCCACCCACAGCAGCTTTGAAAATGAACAATCGTACGCCAGAAAGTCTATAATTCAATAAAAGTGTTTGATCATCGGAAGGAGTGCGGACAGTTGAATTTGATCTTCAAATTAGTAACATTTCTAGTTAAAAATAACTATAGGAAGTGGTCGGATAAATCTATCATCTGTTATGTTATCTGTCAATACGTTTCTTTTCATAACCCTCAAGACGAATATGAAAGTTACGCTTATATATATCATTTGAGATAATTTAAATAAAGGTAGTATCGAGAAGTTTAATCGCGTTTCTTTAATTTGATACATCTTGGCTTAAAATAGCTGCTTTAGATAAAGATCCCTTTAGGAAAAAGAAAGGGTGGTTGTGTTTCTCTCGGCATTGAGTGGTTATTAAAATTAGACTAAACTTTTGTATTGTTTTTATGAGCTTTTATTTCTAATATACATGTAGCCACTTTAGTAACGACTCTAGAACGTTCATTAAATTAACCTTTTGTTTATCATTACTTTATAAACACTGCGTCACAAAATACTAACGCTGGTGAGGATAGAAATTTGATTGGTTAAAGTAGATGCCATCGAGTTAGGTTAAAAGGTTAATTTGACGAAATTTCAAGGGGGCTGTCGTTAGACCCTAATTGATATAGATATCTTAAATTTTTTAATTAGAGTGATCCGACTTGCTGTCGGCAAACATAAATCATGACACAACATGTCAACCTACGGAGGTTTTTAGACAATGATATTAAGTTATAAATCTGTTGTTTGAGCAGCTGTTAGTGTAAATTGAAGCCCTCTAAGTATTATAATTTGTTTCATCGTTCATCAAACCTATTCTGAATACAATCAGGCTATATTTTTTTTGAAAGAATTTGCCTAAAAAGTACACGCAAATGATTCATTATTCATAATTTTTTTCAGACTTAATTGACATTACACAGGCTTTCGAGTAAGGTCGCTGAATTGCCAATAAAATCCTCTTCAATCTATCCAAATCATTTAGACTTTATGTTCTGTGAAGATTTAAATTTCTGTCAAATTTGTCTTCACCTTAATGGGCAAATGATTTTATTAGTGTCATGTATTTTGTAACGAGGGAAATTTTGAGAGATGAAGTAGTACAAATTCAACTGCTTTAATGAAATCTATATTAGAGGAATATATAGAGGGTTTATATGTTGGAGAATCTATTCTTCAAAAGCTTTATGTTCTGATCTTAATAACTTGTCTTTTTCAGAGACAGTTTGTGAGAAAGAAAAAAGAATAAGATTTTGAATAAACATTATTTCTATTCTATAGTTCCAGTATTCACAAGCATTACTTTTTATTCATTTAGTAAGATTATTAAGTGATTCGGCAGAATGAACAGTTTATGATGTGGTAATTTGTAGGCTAGTATATGAATATACTATGAATGAACAGTTTTAACTTACACATTAAAATTTAATGCTGATCACAAAATCATATTGTTCAATCATTCACATGCTTTCATTTGGTACATTAAAGAAATTGGAATCCAATTTTCCAGTGTTGCATCATATATGTAATGAATCTTAAAGTAACAAACTGTACATGAGTATGATCAAAATGGAAGTTTTCTAAATTTTTAATGTTTATCGGGGAAACTAATAGAATCAGTTTGCACCATTTCCATTTTCAATCAGACGTCTGTGTTTCCTGCAACTCCACTAAAGCTTAGTGTTTGATGACGACACTAATCACGTAGGGCCTTATGTACAAGCTATTTGTGATAAGAAAATTGGAATGGTACAAAATGATGCTATCAGTTTCCCTGATACACATAATTATTTTTAGAAAACCTCTTTACATTCCCTTTAAACGTTACAATGAATTCCAATGACAGACTTTTTCCATTCATCACAATTTCAATTTTAAGCAGGTGATTTTTTAAATGATTTCGGTTTTCCATCAGATTTTTTCACAATTTTACTAGGTTTTCTTCTCTTCTCATAGGCTGAGCTTTTCTTACGACCATATCTATCTTCTTTACCAAATTTCTTTTTCTTGGGGGTGGTTGGTTGTTCTGAAATCACAGGAGAGATTTGAAAACTAGATGTTGAATTAAGGGGTTAACAAGGAGTTTAAAAGCTTATATAAGTTTATCAGGGACCCTTATAGTTTATAGTATCAAGCCTACAGTCAAATGCAATTTTTTTTTGTTTCTAAATGTTTTGTTACATGTTTTTTTTTTGTCTGCAATATAATATATATTCACAGTGTCTTGTGATAATCAAATCAGCCAATAAACATGCTTGCATATGGCCATTTTTACCTTATTATTTGAGTCTATTTGAACCCAGGTCCTATTCATTTCTTTAGGCAAAGCCTTATCTAATACCTTTGAAGTTATGCCTACATCACAGTGCCTGAATAATGCTGTGCCTATATGACATGTGCCCAAATGAATGTGTTCCTAAAAGAGGTGTGTCTAAGGCCATACAAAATAAATAGTCTGTTTTTAAAAATGTCTGATTGTTGCTTTAATATTAAATGTACATTAAATTTGTGGTAGTAAATAATAAATGCTTTCTCTCGCTCCGATTTATTCCACTTGAAAATCTAAAAATGCATTTATAAATAATAAATTCGCCCTCTCACTCCGATTTTTGAAAAAAAAAGGCCTGCAAAACAGACAATTTATTTTGTATGGCCTAAAATTCCTAATCTGACTTGTGATTAAAGTATTTGTGCCTAAATGACAGTCAACCGAGTTTATAAGACAATAAATTTTGTACTTACCAATATCTTCAATAAATGTTACAATAATATTTCTACCATCTACTTCTTCTTTGTGTTTTTCTTTCTGAGCTTTTTTAGCAGCCTCAATAGTTTCAAATGTTACTATAGCAGTACTGTTAATATATAACACAATATAGATTATATAGTATTTATAACCAAATAACTCTTCTGGTAATTGTTTGCAAGTGCCCAAATTCAAACTTAACCTAAAATTCTACTCTGATGGTTTGACTAGATTTGACAAGGCAAGCAAAACTAACACAAAGGCATTGCATACTATAAAAAGTTGAGTTTCAACAATTTGATCAGAGCTGTTGATTAGATTGTATATGCCAGTCATATGCAACTGGAAAACAAAGATCTGTCTTTCTCACTTAAGCTTTCCGTAAATTGAAATTATTTGATGAATAATAATAAACAACTTACCCTTGTGATTTACCTGCAGCATTCAAACACAGTTTAACACTACTGCTATCCTCAAATACAGATTCTAATGTTTCTTTTGTTGTTTCAAAATTCATATTTCGCACTCTTAATATTTTACTGTGTCCTAATAAAAACACAAAGATGTAGAATTATTTGCATAGGATGCAAGTCAATAAATCTCACTCTTAGTCAGTAAGAAATTCAATCTGATTCAATGCAAATTTGGATGTGAGTTTTTCTTGAGGTGACTCACCTTGTCATCCATGATCTGACAAAATTTTTATGTATCTCATGTTCATATAATACTCAACCAATCAAATACTGGTACCTTGTGGGAAATTGTGGGATAATCATTCATTGTTAAACTTCTAACAGTGTTTTTATAGCTTAGCATAAGTACTTGTATGAACATGATTAAAGAAGAAATTTGTCAGATCAAAGATGACACGTGCAGTAAAATGTAGATACTACACAAAACAAAACATCTAGATCTGCATTTTAATCATATTCTGACTAAAAGCAAGATTACCACTGGTATTCTGGGAAAGACCATCTAACCTGTGTTTTTAAGGTCCCCTGAAACAAGATTTGCAATTTGATAGACAAAGAAATGGACTTGCAACTGGAAACTTTGTAAGAGTTGGAAATATGAATACTTACTTCCCCCTACTTCTACAGTATCAAGAATTAATTTCTGTCCTTTTAATTCTAGATTCTTCTTTTTTAAATACTCCTTTACTTTATCTATTGAGTCCATTTTAATATAGGCGAAACTACAAAATGAAAAAAATTGTCATTGTTTGTTTAGTAAAGAGTCTATGTTTATCTTCTCTTGGTTATTTTAAGACTGCGTTGCTGTCTTTTTTATTGGAGAAAATTTTGGGCCCCTCCTGAGACCGACCCTGGGCTAGCTACGGGCCTGTATGCTATTTAAAAGTAGGCTCATCAAGCAAGCTAATGTAGTCATATCAAATACATTCAAGTTGATATGAATACCTACCCCTTATTTCTACCAGACATTGTTTTGGGATATTTAATATTTACAGCACCAGGGAATATATCTCGTAGAGCATCTTTAGATACAGTGGATTCTATATTTTTCACAAATATTGTCTGAGATTCTACAAATACAATGTTCATTCATTATTTCTCTTTGTCTTGTGTTTTAGTATTCTTAAGTAAATTTTTCAAAAATCGATCAGGAAACCAAACTCTGTTATTGATTTTACTACTTTCAATAATTGATACATTTTAATCATCACTCATAACTTTTCTTTCATTTGATAAACAAGAGGTTGCCTAGCAAGATACGTCCACTTTCCTGATACATTTTCAGTATATCAAGGGTGATCACCAATCTGTATCAAATCATACCAAATATTTATTTTGTACACACACACATTATTTAATAAAATTCTGACATAAACTGTCACCCCTGTCGAGTTCACAAGCCAACAAATATTGATATGTTTTTACTAAGTCAAAGGCAATAACTTCCGTTGATTGAATTGTCAAATTCAAACTTGACTAAGTTCTCATCATCATTATAAATGATCATAAGGAAACCATTAAATAAACCCACTTACTGACTTCTACTTCTTTAACATCAAAATGTGTTTTTTCAGCATTAATTTTAATTTTACTGCCATCAATCTTTTTACCATTTAATGCTAGAGCTTTCTCTAAATCATCAGGATTTAACAAATCAACATGACAAAATCTGGAATCAAAAGAATAATCATATTAAATTGTGGCTTGTTTTGAAATTCTGTTAACAACAGTTTTCTCATACTTTTTATTACATTACAAGTTCTGTACCATACATTCATCATTTTCAATATCTTTAGATCTCAGATCACTTGTTTGGCTCCACAAAGTTCTTAAACCACAAAAATTTCACTAAATATAATCGAACTGTTCAAATGAAATTAAGAATGTATATCTAATTGTAAAACTGACCTTCTGCCATTTTTCTTCCTAACTTCATACAATGTAATATTATGGTTTGTGAAGAATTCAGTTATTGCCTCCCTTGAAATTTTAGTGTCCAATCCACCAATGAACAATGTCTTATCTGAAAACAAATAGATATCATTAAAAGCAATGAGATATGTTGAATTTCAGGCATGTATGATTTAGACATGGCTTAGTTTCATGTATCAACTATTATATGATCCAGTGAAAAGCAAGTCTCATCCTTTCTGTTTTTAAAAAATACAATACACATCAGTTATAAAACAATTTGTTACTTCTTTTCAGAAGAATTTATACCCAATTCTCATTCATATTTGACTGCTATTAACTTAACTTACGTTTTCCTTTCTTATTTTTTCCACTGTTTTTCTTTTTCTTTGGTTTATCACTCTGTGTTTCATCAACTTGTTCTTGACTTTTCTTTTTCTTCTGTTTGTCTATAATAAAATGAAATTTTCTTCCAATTACGCAAGTTTTGTGATAATATGACCATGTGAAAATGAAATGTGACTTTGAGAAAAGCTTACGGCTATAAAATGCTGTTCCACTTAATCTGAATAAAACTCAGTTTTGTAGGCGCAGGCACCTTAAAATGAAGAAATTTTTCCCTCATCAAAACAAAGACCTGATGAAGATGAAGATGTTTCTACAGGCAGAATGTTTTCAACTATCTCCAAACCAATTCCCGAAATTTTCTTGCAAGCCTACCTGATATTTTAGGTTGTTTAACTTCTGGGGTAGCCACCTTTACAGATTCTGACTTTCTCTTTTTTCCTTTCTTTGACTCTTTGTTTTCTGTTTCTTGTTTCAATGTCTGAGGCTTTTCCATATCAACTATTTCTACCACTTCTTCTCTACTCTTTTTCTTTATTCCATTTTCTTTAAGTTTCTTTACTTTCATTTTGCAACTTGTTATCTGGAAAAATGATAATAAGAATAATGTTTGAAAAGGGTAACCACATACAATTACAAATTGCAAAACTGATTTTGGCACTTCTATTGCTCTATTGCTATGTTTTCAATACACACTTGGACCAAGTGCTGTTAACCCTTGGTCTGACTTTATTTTGGTCTGGGTTGTCTTGTATTCTGACCATAATTTTTACACTTACAGAATTGTATTTTCCTCAATTATTTCTGTATCAATTTATATTAACTTCAAAAGAGTAGGCCTACTAAGGGCCTAACCTAAGGGCAGTGTGGGTATAAGATTTTCTAAATGAAAATGCCAACCACAGAGGTGTTGATTTCAAATATAAAATTTTAAAATTTATATTCCTATAGTATAGCCTATGGATCTGAAGGCAATTTAAGAAAAATAGAATGAAATTGGAAATATAAGTTTGAAATTTGTATATTATTGAGATAAAAAAAAAAATTCAATTCTGACCTCGAGTCGAGTTACTGTTGTTGTGGACAGATTGCGATCGGATCGAAATAAAATAAGTATCAGCAGTCGAGCTGGCTAATCTAGGTCAATCAAGATTTCAATCGCTTATTATGAAAATATCACTTCGAATACTTTAATTATTGTCAAATTACCTTTCAAAATAATCAAATTGTTGAAATGTATCCAATGAAACTGCACGTGTTCAATGAATTTTGTAAACAAAGATGAGAGTTACGTCCCTTGATATTTTAAATGGACTCAGACCACTAAAACTTCTTACGTACAATCATAGTATGTCTATGCGTACAATACCAACTGCACATTATAATTTTATTTGACCGTTGAGGTTACTTGTTTAAAAATCCAGTTTAATCCTTTCATTAACAGAATAAAATCGGTTAGAGAACTGTAAGATGGCTATTCATAATAAGTCGTCGGGGTACTGTAATTCGAAGCACTGCACTTTCTACACACCTCAACTTTTTAGCCAATATCTCCCCGCTTGTCTTTTCTTACTTCACCTCTATTCCCTCTCCCATCCCTCTCTTCTTTCCCTCTCATACCCCTCTCTTCTTTCCCTACTGTTCTTACTCTTTCTCCTTGTACTTTTCTCTATTTTCCCCCATGGTATCATTCACCTGTACTTCTTCCCCTTTCTCTATGCTTCCTATATCTCCCCTCCTTCCTCACTGTCTTTCTTTAGTGTTTTCTTCTTCCTTTCTCCTGCACTGTATACTATTCCTAATTATGTTTTTTACTTCCCAATATTGCTTCAAAGTTTCCCTGACACCGACCCCGGTCCTCTTGTTTCCATCTGGATATTACTTTCTACAATCCTATCTTCAATTTAAACGACTTAACAGTGAATTCATATCCCTTCACTAAAATATGCAACCCAACAATTTCTTTGATTATAGCATCAATTCGCCAATTACATTAAATTTTTCACGACGATTCGTGAATAAAATTGTATATTTTTCACTCGTATTTCTGCCAATTCAACAAATATTAGACAACCCTCATAATTGCCTCTATGCAGAAAAGTAGGACGTTAAACTCCATTCATTCGAATTTTATTTTCAGTTGTCTTTATAAACCTTGAATACCTCTTTACTTACGGAGGTGTACGAAGAAGAGAAAACACACCTCTTGGCCGTATTGTGGTACCGTGTGGTACAAAGGGACATCGCAAAATATTGGCAATATCTTGATCGACTCATTAATGATTCAGCTTTGTATAGATACCAAAAGTTATGCCAAATTAGGAATGTCGACATTATATGTCCATTTCCGAAACACATCTGATTATCACGTCGCAGGAACTGGGTATGGCCATATTTGTTCTGGTGTGGGTTTAGCAAAGGTTTTAGATATTGTCGATCTAATTTACTTGTAATAATATTATAATAGCGAAATTAGGTCAAGGTAGTAACAACGCCTGACTTCATCTTAATCACACGAGAAAGGCAAAACACGCCGATCCAGCAGTCTGGACTGTGGTACACTCACCCAATACTGATATTTTGCTGTCGACCCGATCTATTCTTTAAAGAATTTAGTTTTTACAGCAATAGAGGATACAACATCGTTCCCTCCACCTATTGGTTAACTACAGCAATTGACCCATCATCTACGTGGCATGATTGCATTATAGGCGATCAGATGAACGTTGCAAGAATATTTTCTGACATCTGACGTAGGCTACACAACATCGGTTAAGTGATTTATGTTCCCTATTACATTATTACACAATCGTAATGAAAAAGGTTTTAAAAATCCAATCGATACGTCATTGGTTTTCCTTATACTGTCAAATATAATAAGCAAATGATTTTGAATTATATAGGCGAATCAGTGCCAACTTTTTGTGAGTAAATGAATGGCAGTTATACTCACAAAGGTAATCTTAACACATGCTCCAACAGCTCCATCTTCATAATGTTAAGCTATTGCGAACTTGACTTCATTAGCCACTATTCTTGTGTCACAGAATTCAGCGAATACAGCCAATCAGAGCTCCAGACAGAAAAGCTGTAACATTATGGCTTTGTGTTTACAGGGCCTCTGTCGAAACCTTTGATTTGCTGTATTCGATAGCGTACATGCGTTTAAGTACGAATTCGTAATAGGTAGGAATTGTGAAGATTCATGTCCTCTATACCAAAACCAAGGGTTCGAACAACTATATTTAAGATGTATTATGCTAAAATTTTACAAATATTCCATACATCGATGATATCCCAGAATATTAAATGTAATAATACACGTATTGTGTAAATGACTTTCTGTGCTAAGGGTAGTTGAACAAGCAAATTATATAGGTTTTTAAATCAGGCAAAAAGTGCTTATTGGTTTTGGGAAATATAGGCTCATGAAAAAGGAAATGGTGAGAGCATTTTTGATTTCTGAAAAAAATCGTACAACAAAATTTTAAATTGTCTGAACTGATACCGGGCTATTCAATGTACTCACTTTCAAACAGACCCAAATAGAAAAAAGAACAATTATAAATAGTGTCGTGTGCAGAATATTTCAGAAAGTTGTTCATGATACACAGATGTTGAAAATATTCATGTTCTTGTTTTAATATTTTTTATTAAGAAATTCGGTTAAATTAGTATAAATACCAGCAATATTGTTCATAATTTCATATCAGATTAGATAATACAATTATACTAATCATGTTGTCACTTCGATTACTCGTCGTTGTCGCTATTCTCCTGGTTTTATTACAAGCTGTTGACTGCGGTAGTCCGAGAAGTCCGAGACCGAGAAGTCCGAGACCGAGAAGTCCGAGACCGAGACGTCCTTACAATGGATATCAGAAACAGGGTAAGTATGTCTTTCTTATCAGTATAGAAGGAGATGGTGCTGGAATTGGTAAGAATGTAATTTCCAATGGGAATATCAATTCTGACCATAACTCAGACTGAGCTTACGAATCAGGAGCTTTTAGATCTACTTCGTGATCTTTTGATCTGCAGCTTCGGCAGATGGCACACACACTTTGAATACCGCTTAGGGTTTCTACCATTTCCCTTTGATTTATCGAATTTGCGGCTTATCAACTTAAATTCTATTACCTTCTATAATTGTAGTCTGTTATGATTTTCATCTTCCTGAATTCGCCAAATGGATTGTTACTGAAGACTGTGACAGGTTTCATAAATCATTCAAATGTCCCGATGGCTACTTTATGGAAGTTCGCACAGTATGTGAATACGGGAAATGGAAGTTAATCCACGAATGCATAGCGGAGTAACACTGGTAAGTGCAGACATTCTTGTCTACATTTCTGTTTGAACGACTGAATAGGAGTAAGATCATGGTGAAGCAATTAGAAACACGTGATGATGACAATGTAAATTGTTGAAACGATGGGCACAATGACACACATGGGTAGTATACCATAAATTTGTATTCTGTTATGTAAATAGAACAAATGTACCGTTTCGCAATTTTCACCTGGTGCAATATGTACTTTATTTTTTATTCTTTTTTATTTTCAGCTATTTATACTCATGCCTTGATGACACAATGATTATAATGATATAATGATATAATGATAATAAATTTTAAGTATTGCTGTACAGATATTATTGTTATTCAATTTTGGGTTTCCAATCAGGAAAATTGCATGAAACTAAGGGAATGGGATAACAAAAAAAAAGAAACTAGTTGAAAATAGATGAGATATGGTATCTTTCGCGGTTTACTGTGCTGGGTTATCGAACCAGAAGAGAATAGAAGTGTATAGCATACGTTTCTTGTACCACACAGTTCACCGCGCGGATACCATACCTCACCATACTTCACGTGCTGTTGCTCCGAAATGCCATGTCATTGATGCACGTCGACAAGAACCGTACTAAAATTAAAAGAAACTGAAGATATGTCCGAATTTGTCCACTTAAGCCAAGAAGTTCTGCATTTCCTAACAAAGCATTTACAGTTTGAAAACGTGTACTGATACACGTCAGCACAGCCTACTCTATTGGAATCTTTTAAGTGTAGCCGTCCCTTCCGACGAACTCAACTATTCCATTAACCTACTTTCGACCTTTAATGACAAGAGGAAACCGAAAGATGCGCTATCTCAATCTACACCTGAATTGTGTTACCCCACACCCCTTCAACCCACCTACAAATACACACCCTTGTTAGCCAAAATCACAATGACATATTACCCATCCAACCCGCAATCTATAAATTTGAGAATTAGAACATGACATGAAATACATTTTGTAGCAATGCATATATTTTATCCGACTTATAAACCGGCTTAAATGTATTTGTATGATTAAAATCACCCAATAAATAATAATGATTAAGGGGCGCAACTCGTGCCTTAAAAGAATCTATGAGTAACAGCAAGATTCCAGATTTATTTTGATATTTCTATATCGCTCGACAATTGATGTATGGAGCACTATTTTAAAAGTGAGAATTTTTGTTAATGCAAATGTCGAATATGTAATTAGATTATATTGAATAAACAGTAGCCTATATGATGAATTTTAAGATCAAGGGACATAACTCATGGAAACATAATAGACTCAGACCGGTAATTCATTTGCCATCTAAATCCATGTTAAATCACGAAATTCAACCTTGACTTCCGTTGAGAACTTTCCAATATGTCACATGAAAGTCTGGACAATACTTAGTTCCTGACCATGAAAGTCTGGACAATACTTAGTTCCTGACCATGAAAATCTTAAGCTTGCCAAACTGAAATTAGATCACTGCAGTTTATTAACATCCACTTGACTGTCACTTAACACAAAACGACTATTTTTAAAATTATCCTTCTGCATGGAAATCTCTCACCATCTCAAAAAATCTGAAAGAAAATGAAATTTCAGACATCAAATTCAAATTCCAATCTAGACCAAAAATTAGTCAAAAATAGGCATACAAAAACCCAAAAAGGGAGGGAGAAACAGAATTTCTAAAAATAACACATTCGTATACCATCATTTACATAAAAAGTGTTAAAGCTATGAGTCCTACTGTATATTAAATTATTAAAAGTAAATTCAATAGTTCAAGGGAGGGAACTGATCAAATAATGTTTCATAATGAAAAGTGGCACCAAGCGTCAGAAGAGTAAGTAGGCTGTGCCCTGCCTGAAAGTGGAACCATATCAACCATCGCTGCTCAATACAATGGGCGTATATATAATATATCTTATCTTGTCGTAACTTGACATAGGTCTATTATTGTGATGACAACCTGATTAAAACCAAGATTACACAAAAACTACTGTGATGACATGCTACTCACACTGTCAACATCGGGTTAGACGCATTCTAACCGTCCCCACTGCGAATAGTGCCCTTTAATATGAGATTCTCGGATGCCCTCCACCCCCTTCTGTCAATGAAATCATTGAAAGAACTAAGAACATGCTCTGAGTAGGCCTATCGAAGCAAATGACATAACTCTATTTGTTGACGAAAGTGAAATGCTGCACATAAAAGGAAAATTGACAATTGACAAAATCATCACGCTTGTCATATAATTTTATACTAAGTCTCTATTTTTGTCATATTCGAGATGCAGAGCCAAGTAGGGTGCGCATCTTTCGTCATCGGTTGCGTTTTAAATTTCTAATTCATTGTAAATATTCACTAAAATTAGTATTAACAATCACAGGTTATCTTGTTGCCCTAAAACGTGAACTGTTCCATTACTGGGTATATTGGTCATTTAAGCGGCATCAAGATTACAAAAGCCAGTGGTAACCTCTCTTTTGTTAACCCGCTCACAACAAAAGCACAAAGTATCTAACAAATATTTGACATTATAGGGCTAATTACACCTATTCAATCTGTTTGACGTATAGACCTAAACTACTACTTAAAACTGAATTAAGTAGAATGAAATAGGAACTTAAGTTGCTACGTAAGGCCAAGAATTAAGTTACAATCTGAACATATGTGTCGGACAGGAAATCTTTTAGGTCTATTAGGGGATGGTTTATAGGCTCAGACTTGGATACTTAATTAATTTTCAAAGTGATGTACTGACTGAAGTTTTTCCCGATGAAGGCGAAATGGCAGATGGCGTAACTATTTTGTTTAGTCGTACTTGCTATGCCAAAAGATTCAGTCTCGAGTCATTTCGACCAAATTGTCAATTTCTCAGATCGGTGTAACGACTGTAGCCGCAATCATTTACGTGTGCGTTCTCAAAATTGTCACAGCACTTTACCGTTTGACTCTTACGCATTGATATACCTTGCTATAATAAAGTAATCCTTTCTGAATACTGACTGCTATTTTCAGACCTATCACACACACCGTATTATGCTTAATGAATCTCCGAAGTCGTCCCTCTGTGCCCCTATTGCTGCATCGCACCCCGATCATCATCGATCGCGATATCGACGCGAAACGTGATAATATGACTTAGTAATGTGTATAGATTACTCACAGCAATTTTCAGATATATTAGACACTCCATACTATGTTAAATCAATCGCCAAATTCATTCCACTATGCCTCTATTGCTGCATCGCACCCCGATCACTTCCGATCGCAATATCGACACGAAACGTGGCAATATGACTTAATATATGTCTTGATTACTCACAGCAATTTTCAGAACGATCAGACACGCTATACTATGCTTAATCAATCACTAAAATTGTGGCTCTATGCCCCTATTGCTGCATTGTACCACGATCATTTCCGATCGCAATATCGATATCAAACTCGACAGACACATTATATGATTGATCACAAAACTCTTCTGATGCATTGCATTTCAAACACTTCCAATCGCAATATCGTTTTAGCAGAACTGATGGAAACATGTGTCCTGTTTTACAGCCTATATATTGCGATATGCCATTATGTGAGATATCTTCTGACACACTAGTGTATTGTTAACATTTAGAAATGAGAGCCGCCGAATTATATATTACCTTATCATTGAAGTACAAGCCTTCCCCCAGTTTATCCGAACATCTTAGTTTGATAGACTAAAGAAGTAGTAGACTGTATTAAATCATCGTTGAACACATTCGACATACAGAACGTTTATTGTTTATTTTAAGAATATTTAATAATACTGTCATCACTACAATACAAGAATTCTCTTGGAATATATTTGTAGGTCTTTTTCAACTTTCTTTTTATTTAATCACCTGTATTTACTTTTCAATTCTATTTAGGTTTCCGTTTAATTTGATTATTAATTTGGATCCACTTTCTATTTATATTAAAATAAAATTGTTACTTCCTTCTGAACTTGGTAAGATTGACTGCAGGTTGAATTTGACCAGTTTACTTTAATGGACATTGGTATTAGATTTAAAAATGATTTTCATGCGACCATTAATTTTTATCGTCAAAATGGATTATTGGCGAGTTCAGTTTTGTGTACAAATTGCAACGTTCAATGTGTGGAAGGCAGATATGCACGGGCCATTGACAGAGTGACATGGCGTTGTACGATATGCAGAACAACCAAAAATATCCGCATTGGAAAGTTATTCGACAGGCCTCATTTGCAAATATAGCAAATTTTAGGATTAATATATCTTTGGGCCTATAGCTGTGGCTCGTCTAGGGGCTTATCGGTTGACCAGACTATGAGGGAATTGCAGATTTTTTCTGGACACACAATTGTCGATTGGAATCAGTTTTGCAGAGATGTGTGTTTTGAGTATTTCATGAACCACCTTCATCAACTAGGTGCCACACTGATACCAATTATCCAACAATGGATACTTCCCGGAACAACTATATGTTCGGACCAGTGGGCAGCATACAACAACTTGGGAAATATATACATCAAACTGTCAATCAAAATTTTGTTGATCCTGTGTTTGGAACAACAACTACCCGTGTAGAAGGAATGTGTCAAAAAGCAAAAAGTAAGATAAAAGCCATGCACGGTACCAGTAGGGAATTCATGGGGGACTACAATGGCTGAATTTATGTGGCACCAACGTTTTAAAACTCATCCATATTTATAGGTTATGGCAATAGCCATGATGACCTAATGATAATAAAACTTTAATAGTGCAATACAGATCTTGTGTTATTTTATTTGGGGGCCATAACAGTTAATGTACATGAATGTACATTAAAAGGTCATCAGAAGTAAGGAATAGCATAACATGTTTTACTGGAGTACGTCAGTACGAGAAAAGTCTATTAATTGTGGGACGCAGAATTATTATATGTCTGTCCCTTTCCGATATCACATCTGAATATCACGTCGGAGGAAAGGACCAGATTTGTCGAGCGTGGGTTAAGCAAAAAGACACAAGAAGTTAAGAATGGTATGGTGTTCGATACGTTTTAATGTGTTATCGATAAGGTAGAATCTTTTCGACAATTTTTATATACATTTATAACATGGATAACTTTCTTAAGTTCTTTTCGTTTTGGGAGGAACCTAGCTGTGCTTTAACAAGTTTAAATAACAGAACATAACCATCTTAATTCCTTAAAACTGTGCTATAAAATTTTACGCATCTCAATAACAATAATGTACGGAAATTAATAGAAACATTTTCTCGCACAAGAGCACTTTGCGTATACGCAATTATGTTGGATACATTTATAACGAAAATACGTATACTTGAAAAGCTTAGATCTCCCATCTTTATATCGGGTAATGCGAGGGCATGTACTGTGAGATGGTCCTTCTGAATTTGTTAACAGAAGCCACACGGTTCTGCATTGTGTAACAACATGTTTACTGAAAGTATGAAAACAAAGTGATAAGTTTCACTAATTTACCAATCTGCAATCATTCTATTTTGTCTCTGAAACAGTTCTACAAATTTTGGAACAAAAATCTTACCATCCTGCAAAAGCATGCGATGTCACATTTTACAGGACGTCTGTCAGAAAAGCCACGGACAAATATATGTACGTCAAGTGTCCGTTTTTTTTAGTAATACCACCATTCCACCAAGGATTGCTCTGGTCCTGATAGTTCCCTATCTATTTTTTGGTCGATCGGCCTCATTTTTGCAAAAAAGTCGCGAATCTGCGAGCTTTATCAAGCACTGCCCTATACATTCGGGGGATGTAGGCGTATGTTGACGCAGGCGGCCACGGGTTATATTGGCACGCGTCAGAACGGAGGTCGGCTACCTGCGGGGGTGATTGGGCACTTACGGGGCATAGACGGGACGGTCGTGTGATGATCTGGCGAGGGATGGGTTCTACCGTTCCCCGTGGGTAAAGGGGAGTACTCACAGGTTCCCGACTTTTTTGCGAACGACGATCGACCAAAAAAATCGTCGGTACTGTTGGGGCCAAAACATTTCCTGGAAAATGGTCTCACAAGGAAATTTTAACGACCGAAGATCTTTTACTTTCGGTTTCCTGTGGCTTCCTTCGTCAACCTACGCCTACATTTGGCCACTCACGGTCGAACAACGTAGGAAGATCGCTCACTTTCATCGAGAAGCGGTCTCTACCGAGCCTTTGTGGTTATCTAAAAAATCGCTCGAGGAACGTTTGTGATTCGTCTCTTTCCATTAATCCAGTGGTCGGGACTCAATCGGGTCAATAAAGGTGACGATCAAAAAAAAAAAAAAAAAAGAAATCATCGGGGACAATCTAGTACAGATCGGACCAATTGGAAGAAACAATCTTTGGTGAACTGGGGGTATAACGTAATCGAATGAAATCTTGTTTAATTTTTTGACATTTTTTGACAAATCTTACGTACGTATGTGTGACCACGGCCTAAGCATCTGAATTGTTAAATTTGTTACGGGCTGTGATTGATTAAAAACCATGATTTACCAGTATAATGATACATTATACTTCAAACATATGTAATAGTTCCAGGTGGTACATACTCTGAACGTTTGGTTGTACATGTATTCAACTTTGAGTCGTGCTTTTCTAGCATTTCATCAAATTCGTCCAAAATTAAAAATGCCTCAGAAGAATGTCTTATAATAGAATTTCTGGTCATTTCCGGCGAATAATCAGGAGCTGGTTCTGCTAGTATTCCCGATTTCTCACACTCATTTTCAATTTTGCGACCAGTAAGTTGTCTCCCATCTGATAAAAAGTTTTTATGTTCTGGTGCACCAGTATGAATATGGTTGTGCGTAGTTTCATTTAATGAAGGCATTGAGAGGTGTGTTCGCAAAATCCAATTTCCATTAAGGCTTCCGAGTCTCTTTTTAGAATTTCTACGATTATGTACTACTAAACCAAGTGAATCAAAGAATTCGCCATTACTTAAAGATGGTGGTTTTGTATTCAATGTCTCGTATATGTTTTCTTCGTCGTGTTTGGTTCTACTGGTGAGGTCTTCAGATCGCCTCCTCTGTTGTTGATGATCAAGACGATGAGAGGTTGATTCATCGGTGTTTTTATAAACATGAGCGATATAGTTCTCTTGATCAGTATTGTAATCTGAAGTTATATCATCAACGTCGTGTAGCGAGTTTCTGTGAGGAGTGATAGGAGATTGCCCCTGAAATATTATTGTTAAAAATAGATAATATAGTAGGGTAAAATGAAATAAAATTTAATAAAATAGTTTAATGATCCATTTGTCTAGCCTGATTGAGCTAATGGTACTAACCTACTCTATATGATAGGAGATTCCCTCTACAATATTTTTGTTTTTTAATCAATAAATTAAAATAAAATAAAATTGAGTTTAATGTCCTTGAATGGTTGAGCTTCTAGCACCAACCTACTCTATTCAATTCCACGGTCGAAGGCCATTTCATTTCAAGGACTGATATTTTTTATTTAGCATCGATCTGCATCACTGAGAAGGGGAAACTGAATGGGGCGCTATCTCAACCTACGCGTGAAATCTATAAATCGATGACAAGAAAGTGAGCTTATCCTCTCTGTTCTAACTTCTATATGAATTTGAAATAATACCAGGATGTTTAAGTAATGGTTATAGACGTGATAAACGGTTTGAACCATTACAAAAGGAACATAACTTACACTAGTTTGTGAATGGTGTCGATGCAAGATATTCATAATCATTTCTATAGAAGATGGCGGTAATTCTGATAAGTTCTGTATTGGTATTGGCGGTAACTGTCTATCTAGAATGATACAAAAATGATTAACGCATTGTAATCCATAGTGCGCACAGCTGACTGCTGTCTCATGGTGGCACTGATGCGTGGATTCCGATACTTCAGCTCAAGACAATTTAACATACGGGTACATTTAAAAATTGCTTAGCAAACTGTACTCATCACCGATTTTCGACTAGGAAATTACAATTTAAATTTGTTATGTGTATCGGGTACATCAATTTGCACCATTCCCATTCTCATTCAGATGTATTTGGTTCCTGCAATTCCACTTAAACTTTTGACTAAACACTTAGTTTTAATGGAATTGCAGGAAACACAGACGTCTGATCAAAATTAAAATGGTGCAATTTGATGCTATCAGTGTCCCCAATACACATATAAAAATTTAGAAAACGTTTTTCTACAATCGCTTTAATTGGCTTTTCAGATACTCTTTTACTCCCGCACTTTCATTCAAGCGTCTTGTATTTGAATATATATTTGCATGACATAAAAATAAATAGAATTTCTTACTACTTTGATTTTGGTTGTATGAGTGACCGCATGTTATTAACCTTGAATCTTGATCAGTCACTCTTTGGTTGGGATCTTGATACCAAATATCTTGCTGATAGAGAACAAAATGTCATTGTAAGTAATTGTTATTATAATTTATTTTACGGCTCAACGGAACATTAAATCACAGATTAAATAGACAGATTCGTCATTTCATTTTTATATGTATAATATTCTTAAAATACTCTGTCCTTCAAATCATCAACCATTTATCGACATCTTCTACTGTTTATTACTCGTAATTTACATTTGTTTAATTTTTCAGTAAAATTATCGTCAAAATTTATTTCCATTACTAAATCTGAACAAACCTTTGGTTTTCTGAGCAAACACTCAACCTACAATAAAATAATGATATTTAGATTAGCAACAGTTTTGAATTAAATGACATGAATTGCAGCTTTAGAGCCTAGTTCAAGTAAAGCAGAAAATAAATTCCAATAAGCTACAATACATTTTGCAATGAGTAAGTACCTTAATCCAAAGCCAATTTGCTTCCGTTTGGGGTTTCTATTGAACACATACAAGTTTTATTCGACGCATTTAAACGACCGATTGTTCTTTTGGCTTAGCTTTGAAAATCTGATATTTTACTGATAAATAAATGATTACAGCAATACAGATTAATTGAGTTTCAACGTACATCAATAATTCTATTTTTCCATTCTTCTATTTCTCTTCTTAAATCATCGTACTCTAAACCATCTCCCCTTGTGTTCTATAGACAAAAATACTTTTCTGTATTGAGAATTATATTATAAGTGTACATTTTAAGTCACTAGTAATGGATATCCAAAGAAATTGTCTTGAAAAGATATTGTTTAACCATGAAGCTCAAACGGATACATACATCTTGGGCTCAACTTTAGCTACGCACCGTTACCATATCAAGTCTACAATTAGACTATTTAAGTTTTCACCAGTATTGAT